TGAGACGGGGTTTCACCATGTTGGCCAAGCTGGTCTCACTCCCAACCTGATGTGATCTGCCAGCCTTGACCTCCCAAAGTACTGGGATTACAGGTGTAAGCCACCACGTCCAGACTTTTGTTTTTGTTTTTTTTTGAGAAGAAGTTTTGCTCTTGTTGCCCAGCCTGGGTTGCAACGGCATGATCTCGCCTCACCGCAATTTCCACCTCCCAGGTTCCAGCAATTCTCCTGCCTCAGCTTCCCAAGTAGCTGGGATTACAGGCACATGCCCACCATACCCAGCTAATTTTTGTATTTTTAGTAGAGACAGGGTGTCTCCATGTTGGTCAGGCTGGTCTCGAACTCCCAACCTCGGGTGATCCACCTGCCTCGGCCTCCCAAAGTGCTGGGATTACAGGTGTGAGCCACCACACCCAGCTCCCATTTCTCTTACAATTCTGCAATACTCAACCTCCCGACATTTCCAGAGTCTCTTCTAAATATCCCTGCCTTGAAACAACCTCTCCCCTCCTGAACTCTTTTACGACGGCTGCACCACCATCTCCTAGCCTTAAGAAAATGCCTTACAATTTGTACAGAGAGCTCAAATGTCTGCAAGCCTCCAGTTTTTTTTTTTTTTTTTTTTTTTTTTTGAGATGGAGTCTCACTGTGTCATCAGGCTGGAGTGCAGTGGCAGGATCTCGGCTCACTGCAACCACCACCTCCAGGTTCAAGCAATTCTCCTGCCTCAGCCTCCCGAGTAGCTGGGAATACAGGCGTGTACCACCATACCCAGCTAATTTTTGCATTTTTTAGTACAGACAGGGTTTCACCATGTTGGCCAGGATTGTCTCAATCTCTTTACCTCGTGATCTGCCTGCCTCAGCCTCCTAAAGTGCTGGGATTACAGACGTGAGCCACCATGCCCAAGCCTCCGGTCTTAAGAGTTGCATGTCAGGTAAGCATTCAGGACCAGTCTTGGAAATGAGTACCTTTCTTCTTTTAACGAGCCAACAAGACGTTCACCCCTGCTGCAGATCACTTGAGGCCAGGAGTTTGAGACTAGCCTGGGCAACATGGAGAAATCCCATCTCTACTAAAAATACAAAAATTTGTCAGGCGTGGTGGCACACGCCTGTAGTCCCAGCTACTTAGGAGGCTGAGGCACGAGAATCATTTGAACCTGGGAGGGAGAGGTTGCAGTGAGCCGAGATCGCACCACTGCCCCCTATATTCCAGCCTGGGCAACAGAGTGAGACCCTGTCTCAAACAAAAAAACAACAGCAAAAAACAGACTCACCCTCACCCATCCGCCTGTTAACCTCAAGCACTAGAGAAGTCCTGCTCTTCTGGGTCATCTAGCATCACCACCACTTGTATACTGCTCTAAGCACACCCTAATCTGCCCCAAACACATACTCTTCCCAGCCCTCCCAAATTAACCAGGGTCTCTGAAATTCCTACTCAAGGATCTAAAAACCAGCTGGGCACAGTCGCTCATGCCTGTAATGGCAACATTTTGGGAGGCCAAGGCAAAGGAATCACTGAAGCCAGGAGTTTGAGACCAGCCTGGACAATGTACCAAGACCCCATTTGTACAAAAAGTACAAAAATTAGCTGAGCATGGTGCCATGGCCTATAGTCCCAGCTACTCGGGAGGAGTTCAAGGCTATAGTGAGCTATGATTGCCACACTGTACTCTATCCAGCCTGGGCAACAGAGCGAGACCCCATCACTAATAAAATAAATAATAACGCCCCACTATATTTCTCAGCATCTTCTCAGAATGATCTATTTGCCCCTGCACCTGCCTGGCCCTAGCTGTCCCCAAGGCCCTCTCAAGCTGAGATGGCTTTAATGCTCATAGCCAGCTGTCCTCAATACATACCTAAGGACAGGAGGTGGCTGGGTGTCATTATGTCCCTGCTGTCAAACCCTACCTCCTCTGCAATCCTTGTCATCAGGCTAGCTTCCCCTGTTTTATCACCCTCCCTCATCCACTAAGACTTTACCTCCTAGTTCGTCAGCTCACTGCCCACAAACGGTCCTGTTATCATTCTTGGTTTTTTGTGGGTTTCTTCATTTTTTTTTTTTTTTTTTTCAGGTGGAGCCTCACCCTGTTGCCCAGGCTGGAGTGCAATGGTGTGACCTCGGTTCACCGCAACCTCTGCGTCCCAGGTTCCAATGATTCTCCTGCCTCAGCCTCCCGAGTAGCTGGGATTACAGGTGCCTGTCAACACACCCAGATAATTTTCATATTTTTAGTAGAGATGGGGTTTTACCAAGTTGACCAGGCTGGTCTCGAACTCATTACCTAAGGTGATCCACTTGCCTTGGCCTCCCAAAGTGCTGGGATTACAGGCGTGAGCCACTGCACCCGGCCTGTTCTTTTCTTGAAACAGGATCTGTCTCTGTGAGATAACAGTGAGCCTGGAGCACAGTGGTGTGATCCTGGCTCACTAAAACCTCTGCCTCCAAGGCTCAAGTGACCCTCCCGCCTCAGTCTCCTGAGTAGCTGGGATTACAGGTATAAGCCACCGTGCCCAGCCTTTCTGATGTTTTAACACACAAAGCTGCCCAGGCATGAAGGCTCACGCCTGTAATCCCAACACTTTGGGAGGCTGAAGTGGGCAGACCACAAGGTCAGGAGTTCAAGACCATCCTGGCTAACACAGTGCAACTCCATCTCTACTAAAAAAAAAATATGGCTGGGTGCAGCGGCTCATACCTGTAATCCCAGCACTTTGGGAGGCCAAGGCAGGCAGATGACCTGAGGTTGGGAGTTTGAGACCAGCCTGACCAACATGAAGAAACCCCATCTCTAATAAAAATACAAAATTAGCAGGCATAGTAGTACATGCCTGTAATCCCAGCTACTCAGGAGGCTGAGGCAGGAGAATCGTTTGAACCCGGGAGGTAGAGGTTGCAGTGAACCAAGATTGCACCATTGCACTCCAGCCTGGGCAACAAGAGCGAAACTCCATCTTGAAAAAAAAAAATACAAAAAATTAGCTGGTTGTGATGGCACATGCCTGTAGCCCCAGCTACTAGGGAGGCTGAGGCAGGAGAATCGCTTAAACACGGGAGGCAGAGGCTGCAGTTTGTCGAAATGCGCCACTACACTCCACCCTGGGCAACAGAGCGAGACTCATCTAAAAAAAAAGAACAGTTCTGGGTGTTTGTAATATCATTGCCAGTTCCTGGAAAGCTCTTTCCAAAAGTCTTCACGTGACTGATCCCTTATCCTCCTTCAGGTCTTGGCTCAAATGCCTCCTTTTCAAAGAGCTCCTTCCTGACCACTTTATGCAACATGGGTTCCTCTAGTTAGTCTCTCTTCATTCTTTTTTTTTTTTTTT